GCAATATGATTATCTTATATAATGTTATTACTATCCTAAAACATTCTCCAGGTCCTCTGAAACTCTGCAGGACTTAAGCCTCTTTCACACAGAGCTTTCGCGGCGCCCACGGCGGGGTAGGGTGCAGAGGACAGGATTTGGGGGAGTACAGGCTCGTTCAGGAGCTACAGCTCCATGGTGACCGCTTCCGGGTCTACTTCAGGCTCTTCTCTGCTATTGGACGCGCGGCGCCGAGGTGTCGTCCCAGCGCGCAGACACCGCGACATGTGCCCGGTTCATGGCGGCAGAGCAGTGCGCACTTGCGCCGCGGTAGCACACACACAATGAATGGGTTCGTCGGCGGAGGTCTGCGCTTTGCACGCTCTGTGTGAAAAGGGCTTTATTTCCACCCTGCCCAGCAGCGGTACCGTGGTGAACGGTCCCTAAAGGCCTCTACACATGATCAGCTGTAAAACTGCTTTTCTACCGCGGCGCAAGAGCGCATTGTGCCTACAGTGGCTTGGAAAACCGCCCATAACCGTGTCACACGGGGAAGAGGGAAGAGGGAAGGCGGCTGGAGTTCCTTCAGTATTTGCGGTTAGATTATCATATTTTTTTATTGACAAAAATATAGACTGCTTCAGCTGATTTTTTTATGCACACATGTGCCCCTAAATATTTTTTACAGTTCGCACACACGTATTTTTAGTCGCAAATGCGAGTGAAACTCTCGCACTGTTGAGCTCTGCTTCAGACTCAGTCAGTGACCTTGAGCTCAGACGAGCTGAGACATGTTTGTTAATTAACTCTGTTTGACTTTCTTTCAGAGCAATAAGCTCCACCCCCTCCGCCCTGGGCTCCACCCACAGGAAGAGGTCAGTTCTGCTGTGTGTGATTATTACAGTCGTCCCGTTGTTTTTGTTGTTGTTGTTTTTGTTGTTGTTTGTTTATGGGTCCAATCTGTGTTTAGCTGTAAATGGTAATGAAGGGGGCGTGGCCTCCAGGTCCTCTGTGATCCTGTTACTTTATCACAGTGTTGCATTATGGGTAGTAGTGTTGTCACGATACCAAAATCTTTGTTTCGGTACCAATACCAATATGAATTTCGATACTTTTCGATACTCTTCGGTACTTTTCCTAAGGAAAAGTCCTTTTGGCTACAAACCTTTAGAACAATAAATTGTAGGGGTGTAACGGTACCAAGAAATCATGGTTCGGTCAGTACCTCGGTACGGACGTCACGGTTTGGTAACTCAAATGTTCCACCAAGTTGGTGTTGTCTCGTGTTGTCTCCCTTTGCGAGGCAGACTTTCTCTTGTCTTTTTTCACGTGCGCCAGCTGCGAATACTCTAGTACTGTGGTAGTATTTTAGTACTGGTATACCGTGCAACACTAATGGGTAGTTTGTAACGGTAATGTTGCTAAGTTAGTCACTTTCTGTCTGTCCTGTGTGTGTGTGTGTGTGTGTGTGTGTGTGCAGTACATGTTGTACAGCGACAGCTCCGTGGCCGTGTACTCGATGGAGACGGAGACTCCGACGGCTGAAGACATCCAGCTGCTGAAGAAGACTGTGGAGAGCGAAGCCTCGCAGGTGACCCGTCACTCAGTCACATGGTAACTCAGCAGCTGATTGGCCGACTGACTGAGTGTGTGTTTTGTCCCTGCGCAGGGTCTGAAGGACCTGAAGAAGGACAAAGTCCTGATGAGGAGGAAGTCGGAGCTGCCGCAGGACGTCTACACCATCAAAGCTCTGGAGGCTCATAAGAGAGCTGAGGAGTACCTGACAGCCAATCAGGAAGCTCTCTGACCAGGGGGGGCGGTCCCTTCTGAGCCTGACTCTCTCTGATTGGAGGAAGCTGTGCTGGGGTCGGATGAGGGCGGAGCTGACGCTGCGTTCAAAGAACAAAAACAACCGTCTGACCCCTGGTGGTCCAGAACATGTAGGACACTGTGTAGACGTCCGTCCCGCGTCCTGTCTCAAACTGTGTCATCTGTACCTGCATCTCAACGCCGCCAGGTGACCGCAACGCTGCCCTGGACACGCACAGACTGACAGTCCCTGAACGCATCACCAACAGGACTTTTCCACAGCGGGAACTCGGCGAGCTGTGAAGGAACGCGTCGTCTCAGTTTCTGCTGCGGTTCCACTGTGTTCTACCAGAACAACTTCACTGCTTTAAATCTGAAACATCTTTATTTCTCCAGGTTTTTATTTTCTCAAATTCTCTGCAATGCTCAAACGTTAAACTCCGTCACAGTCCTCGGAACATTTAATCCCTTCAATCTAAAACCAATCAGCTGCTCTACTTTACGACTCTGAAATGTAAAGATACAGACTGTCAGACGAATCAAGATCATAATGAAACAAACACCAGTTTAATCCTCAGCAACAGAGCCGTTCAGGTTACGTTGGTATTTACAGAAACGCTGTTTATTTCCTGTCCACAGTTTTTATCCCGACCGAATGCTGCCGAAATATTTTCTGTTAAAGACGTGACGTTTATGTCTCCTCTGTTTCTGCTTTAAATGAATTCATACTGACATGTAAAAAAAAAAAAAAACAACCTATCAGCTGCTTCCTGTCGCCTGCTCACTGTCGAAAGCCTGAAATGTTCTGGTTTGTAAAACAGAGTTACGCAGCAGGACCCTGCTGGTTCATACCGGTTCTGACTGGTTCTTACTGGTCTCAGGTTGTTGTGTTCCTGCTGTGGAAAAGAGCTCCGACACATCACGTCTGTCCCGTGACACCTGAAGGCAGCACAGATGAGTTCACTGACTCGCTCCAACAGCCACTTCACTCCAGAGCCCCGCCCCCTTCACCTGACCCAACCAATCACCTCTCAGCACGGACCTGTGGTGGACTCATGACTGAAGCAGCTTCAGATGGACTGTTGATGGTGATGATGATGATGATGATGGTGGTGGTGGTGACGATGACGAAGAGACATAGTGAATGTAGACACCCAATCAGCATCCAGCTGGTCACCCGACAGAACAGACCTTTGAGTCCAACGTCATTTATTTGTTTTATTTTAATGTTCGTCGGTCGTACGGAGGAAAAGAAACAACTCAACTGTCAACACAGAAAAAAGTTTCAAAAAATACCAAAATCAATAAATAAAATGTTGAAATAAATAAATAAAAATAAATAAATAAATCAAAGCTGATCATTAAACTGAACTGAAATGAAACTCTTAAATTAATTTGAACATTTTTGTAAAACTACACTTTTTTTATTTGTTTATTCCTGTAAACGTTTATTTATTGATACTTGTGTCATTTTTCGTCCTCCGTAGGTCCATGCTGTCATGATGTTGTCGACTCTGAACCAATGAGAGAAGTCGTTTGTTTGAGGAGGCGTTTTCTGTCAGAACATCACGTGGGTGTTTTGTCGTCAGTGCTGAAATACTTAAAGAACAAAAACTTGTTTGTGCTTGTGAGCAAAACGAGACGTTCAGGCGTTATGGGACATAATGCCACTGAAGAAGTGTCTCAGTGTGAGTCGAAGCTTTCGACTGTGCAACAAAACCCAACCGTTTGTCTGAATTTTAAGGTTCAGCGTTTGTTTCAGGACCTAACGAGTCCGAACACCGTCAAACAGGATGCTCAACAACGTCACATGATAAATACAAATACATCTCGCCAAAGTAAAAGCCTGGATTTCGACTTGTTAAAGACACATCTTTGCTGATGAACGAGACAAAGTTCAGTGATTTTTAAACGTTAAAAAACAGAAAAGTTAAAAACGCATCAGCCGGTAAAAAAAACAACTCCTCCAGTTTCCCATGACCCTCTGCTGTCTCGGTTCTGTTTACAACACCGTCTGAGCTGTGTTCCAGTTTCACTGTTTCATGCTGTCGCATTCTGTGCCATAAAAAAAAGTTTGTAACAAAGATAATCATTTCAAATAGTTTTGTTCGTCTAAAAGTTACAGCGACTTTTAACGAGTGAAAATAACCTGAGTATTTCCAGGTCACGTGTCGTCGTCACACAAAGTTCGCTCGTTTTGTTAAACACTAACTGTTTCAATTTCAGTTCATGTCACAAACAGTTCGGTAAAATTCCGGATGAACAAAAAATGAACTTAAATGTCATCAAAACGCATTTTTGTCAACAACAGAAAACAGAAACTGTAAAACTGGTCGTTTTTTTTGTTTGTTTTTTACAAAAACACAACTGATGTTTTTAAAGTGCTTTAATTTTTCAAACTCAGATGATCTCCACAGTTTTCATTAAAGTGCATTTTTCCTGAAAGAAAGTATTAACGTCACAGAGGTGAGTTTCTCCTGACGGAAATACTTTAACAGTCCTTAAAAAATTAAAGTGAACATTCTGAATGAAAACATGATAATTGTTAAAATGCATTTTTCCTTATTGAAAATATTTGATAAACATTAAAGTACATTAATGTAGCTACATTTGTTTGTCACACACTCAGTAAAATTTTTACTGTGCGCTTTTGCTGAAAGAAAACTCTTAATGGAAGCGCATTTTCCTAATTGAAAACATTCAGTACCTTCAATAAAGTGTTTTATTTTTCTTCAAAAACACGTGAATGTTCGGATGAGAACATGCAAGAAATGTTAAGTTAATTTTGTGACAAAAATCACGCAAGTTTGAGTGCTGACAGAAGACTGTTGATAAAGCGCTTTTTTCCTCTTCCAACATGTGCAATAAATGTCATTGAAAGTGCATTTTCTGACAAAAATATAAATGTAATGAATAAAAGTTTTAGAGTGCACTTTTGCTGCCAGAAAAATGTCAGTGCATTTTTCCTCATGAAAACACTTAATTAATACCGTTAAAAAAAATGTTGAAAGTGCATTTTTCTGCCAAAATAATAATTTTTTCTGAAAAAAATGCTTAATATAAGTTTTAGAGTGCGCTTTTGCTGACAGAAAACTGAGTGTCAATAAAGCTCATTTTTTCCTCATTGAAAACATTCAATACCTTTGATAAATGTCATCACAGTGCATTTTTTGTCTGCACAAAAACACGTGATAAATGTCACTTAGTTTTAACTGACAGGAGTGCATGAAAGTGCATTTTTCCTTATAAAAAAAAATCACTCGATTAAAGTGAATGTTCGGCTGAAAAGGTGCGATAAATATCATTTAAAGTGCTTTATTTTTACAAACAAATGTTAGTGTACTTAGCGAAAAAAATATAAGACTTTATAGCGCACTATTACTGACAGAAAGCTTAGTATTGTTCAAGCGCATTTTTCGTCACTAAAAACATTCGTCAAATGTCGTCAAAGCACATTTTTCTGACAAAAACAAAAAAATTTAGCTGACAGGAAGTACTCAAAAAAAGTTAAAGTGCATTTTTCCTGAAAAAAAAAAATCACTTGATCAAAGTGAATGTTCGGATGAGAATGTGCAATAAATGACGTTTGAAGTGCATCGTTTTGACGAACACACAATGAATGTCAGTTTCTCCAACAGAAATATTCAGTAAATATTTTAGAGTGCACTGCTGTTGACCGAAAACTCAGTCTCAATACAGTGCATTTTTTGTCAAGTCTAGGTGCATTTTTCTGACAAAAACACAAAAAAATTTGACAGCAATCGCGTGTTAAAATTTAAAGTGCATTTTTCCTACCAAAAACAAAAAGCGCAGCTATTGTATGTTGAGATATCCCGTTTCACAGCATTAACAAAAGTTAAAATAATTCATGTATCCGCCTCGAGATTTAGATTCGCACCAAAATGTAATGGGCTCTTCCTCGGCTGTGTTTCACTCCTCCACAACGTTTTGTGAAAGTCACGCCTCAAACAAATGAAACCGAAAAAACGCCAGAAAATTATTCGATTGTCCCGTTAAAAATGCGCTCACTACTGTTCAGTAGGTTTTTTAGCTCTTATATTACCTTTAAGAAACGCACCAGAGTGAACGAAAAGTTGTGACAAACTTTTTTCTGCAACAAGATTTGTTTGAAATTCATGTTTGCGTTTTGGGACATTTTGCAGTTTGATGACATTTATGGAGCGTTTATTGATGTGAGCGAGAATGACAAAATGTCCGTCCGTCTGTCTTTGTCTAAAATAATGAAGCTTGTCATCACCTAAAGAGTGACGTGCTGTATCCCACCTGAAGACGTGACGCATCTCACCTGTTGCTGCAGAAACATGAGAACAGTCATGACTCTCTGAATACCATCATGTGCAGTTACTGGTGGATATTGTCATGTGTATGGACGCATGGCCACGCCCCCTCTCTTACAGGCCGTGACGTTTACAGCTCTTTTATTTTTTTTTATCTTACTTCCTGGTCGGCTGCTTTCCGTTAAGTCGCCGCACATCGTCCTCCACTTGCCGTCGTGTGATTCGCTGTCAGTCAGTCAACCATTCCAGGGGTGAGTTAGCCCCGCCCACCTCTCTGTGTGCCGCCACTGGACAAAATAGCCGCCACAGCTCCGAGTCCAAAGAGTTAATGTGAGCCGTTTTTACACACTTCCTGTGTACCCTGTGTGTAGTCTGGGGGGTTGTCCAGCAGGGGGCCGAGCAGGTGTGAGTCTGAGTGTCTTCATTGATCCTGTGATCATTGAACCAATCGATCAGCTGATCAGTGTTATTTCAAAGTTTGTCCAGCAGAGAGCGCTCACAACTCCACTTTGTATCAGCCCTTATAAATGATAAAAAAATAAATCATTGATTAATATCAATACTCTGATCTAACAAACACAAATAAATAAATATAAATAAACAAATAAAAACAGACAAACTAAAGTTTAAACTTCAGTGACTTCTCTGACTGCACAGACTCTGATTTTATTTTTCTGGTTCTGTTTGACAGTAGTTTTTGTCTTTGTTGGGATGTTTGACGACGACTGAGGCAGCAGATGATGATGATGAGAGATGAAGGTCAGTTCACGGTTACTGACACATTTAATCCCCTGAAACAAACTCTAAAGATCCGCTCTCTGACTCGTCGCAGGGTCCAATCAGCTCTTTGAGAACCTTCAGATTATAATAAATACTTTGCAGAGAGGTTTATTTTGTCTGGTGGCGGCGGCGGCGGCGGCAGCGGCGGTGGTGCAGTTCTTGATAAACTGACTCCAAGGTGAAACATTTCATTAAAGTAAGAAACCACCACGATCTGTGACACTAAAACGCGAGCGCTGCTTCCCGCCATCCTGTACATATGTTGTACTTTAATTAGAACATGACATAGTATGAAAGTGAGATTTTGTACAGACGTTTGTGTACAGAACAAAATAAAAGGAAATAAAGTGGAACATGTTTGACAATCACAGTTTCTGTCTCTGACACAAACACATTCATACACTCCATATATTTATATATTAGATTCAGATTATTGTACAAGCGAAACATGAAAGACAAAACATTTCAATAAAAGGCTTCAAGGTGGAAGTGACTTCATCCAAAATATTAAAAAGTTCTCTTTGTTTGAACAGTTTGTTTGTACAGAAGACGAGAGCAGCTGAGTTCAGAATTAATAATTATTCTTTTTTTCCCACTAATTTTCTGGTTTCTAGAAAATTTTCCAGTTTATACTTTTGTTCAACCGATGGTAAAAGTTTCTGCACAAATTAAGAATAAAATTGTTTCACTTTGTAAAGAATATTTGGTTAAAAACTGTTGGTTATATAAAGAAAAAACTTTTGTGGGATTAAAAATCAAACCGAGCAGCTTCTCTTCTTCTGTAAACTTCTGATTTAACTTGTTTCCATATTGTCGGACGGTTTAAAGAATATTTTTAGGAACTTTTCTGGACATTTTTACGTAAAGGAGGAAAATCACGTCATGCTAACGTTAGCTAGCACACGATTCAGTTTTATTAGATAATCCTGTTAACAAAAAAAAACAAACATTTAACCACATTTATTCAGGAGAAGAAAAAACTGAAGCCACAATTAAGAATGTCACAGATAATGTTAGCTTAGCCAGCTAGCATGAAGTGTTTATACTCAACGAACAATTGGAGCTAGTTGTGCTGCTTGTGACATTAGCCTGTGTGCTAGCTTTTTTCTTCTCTCTCAACATGGTTTAATGTGTTTACTCTCTCAGAAGCTAACAGTTAGCTCAGGTTAGCCTACCAACAAAGTTAACTAGCTGATTAACACCTCACCAGCTACTAGTTTGTGATTTTAAATTAGTTTATTACTGTTGGCTAATGTGAGAGACATCAAAATAAACACCCCTGAACTTTGTTTGTTGGCTTACTAATTTACATTATCTTCTTAGCTAACAAGCAACAGTTGGATGATATCTTTGATGTTAGTTAATATTCTACTTTTTACCATTTTCATTTTAAATTCAGTATCACCCTAGGTTAGCTAGCGAGCTAGCTGTCATTTGTCTAACCTCAGCTAACTAATTTAACTGACTTTAGTTTCTCAATGTTAGCTAATGTTGGAGTGATGAAATAAAACCAATCTGAACCATGAAAACAAACTGAATATGTTGGTTAACCACAATATGGTAGCTTCTTAGCATATTAGCTAATATTAGTTTGCTAATGCTAATTAACTGATGTTAGCTGGCTTTGCTAATTAACATTATCTCACTAGCTAACAAGCAGAGGTCAGGCACTCTTTAGTTTTAATCTTTCGTTGTGTCACAATTATTATTTAAACTATGCTCATTATTTTGTGAGATCATATTAGCTACTGAGCTAACTAATGTCAGTTGAGGACTTATTTGGCTCTCTTACTAATGTTAGCTTTCACTGCTTAGCTTTTGCTAACACACTGACATTTGTTAGTTTTAATATCTCAGATAAAACAGAGGTCAAGAAAAATATTCAGGATTTTATTTCACAGTTTGTTTTGCTAAAAATGTTTTAAGTCAATTAGCTAACGTTAACTTTCTAGCGTTAGCGCCTGAGAGTGGACTAAACCATCAGCACGCAGTTTGTTGAGTGAGCAAACATTTGTTAGCTCACTGGCTAATGTTAGCATAACCTGTTGTGGTTGTAAATTATGGCACAAATATGAAGACTAGTGAGCTAAGCTAAGTTAGCTTCAAATGTGTTTTTTCATTGTGATATAATTTTTTAACTTTAATTTAGCTTCAGATTTTTATTCTTATGAATAAATGTGATCCAGTTTTCTCTTGTAGACTGTGATGACATGTTTACAGCCAGGTCCTGAATCCAGCTGAATGCAGCTGAGTCCTGATGTGACAGAGACGACCTGATGTGGAGGTCTGTCAGCTGGAGGATCAGCTGAACCAGAACTCAGGTGGTCTCTGTGTCAGTTCACTTGAAGCTGATCTGAAGACAGAAACTGAAACTGACCGTCAAAGATCTGAATTTCGATCTGAACTCGAGTTTGAATTTTCCAGATGTGATTTTAATGCACAAGGTGAACGTGCAGATGTTCTACGTGTCGACTTCATCAGTCTGATTCTGATGTTTATTATTCTGAGATTTCTTTGACGTCACCAAAACAGAAACGTTTCAACGGTTTCTTTAGTCGTTTATTCAACACGAGGATCATGGGAAAGTTGTTGGTTTATTTAGTGAGTCGACACTCATCTGCCGCAGGTGAAACTATGATGGAGAAAAAATAAATCTTTTATTAATCAGCCAGAAAGTTCAAATTGAATATTTATTGAGACTAAAAAACAGACAAGACGTTTCAGTTTCAGCAGCTTCACTTTAAATCTTCGAACAAAACAAACTGATGTTTTGATTCAACTCTGAATATTTACAGTCATTCTGTTCTTTCCCAGCCCTCCAACCAGGTCCCTGAAGTGGTCCTGGTGCCTTCAGGGTCCATGGATATTGAAGCGGTGGCGGTGCATTCAGGGCCAGGTGAAGGTGATGACATGGTCGTGGTGTGTTCAGGGTCTGTTAATGTCATTGAAACTGCAGTGATGCATTCAGGGTCAGTAGGGATTCTTGGTGTGACAGGTGTGTTCATGGTCCGTTGTTGTCATGGTGAATTCAGGGTAAGTAGAAGTTAGTAATGTGGTGGTGCATTCAGGGTCAGCAGAGGTTGTTGACATGGGCATGGTGACTTCAGGCTCCGTTTAAGTTGTCATGGTGCATTCAGGGTCAGTAGAGGTTGTGGCAGCTGCGGCAGTTTGTCACAATCCACTGTCATGGTGTTGTTGGGTGTGTTGAAGTAGTTGGAGCTGTGGTGGTGTGTTCAAGGACAGTAGAGATTGTTGACATGGTCATGATGCCTTAAGGGTTCATTGATGTTGTTATCGTGGTGTGTTCAGGGACAGTATTGGTTGTTGCAGCTGCAGTGGTACGATAATGTCTGTTGTTGTCATGGGTCCAAGAGCTGCAGTGGGGTGTTCAGGGACAGCAGAGGTTGTTGACGTAGTCGTGGTGCGTTCAGGGTCCGTTGATGTTGGCCTTACGTGGCAAGCGCAGGGTGGCGGCACTCTGTCGGCTCTGCAGCGTGTTCTGGACCAGGTCCTTCCACTGGTCGTCTGAGATCTCTCTGGCCCACGACGGCACACCGAGAGACGGCAACGCCACGGCCGCCATCGTCCTCTTCACCAGCTCCACGTGGTCTGCAGTGACACAGGAAGTGATGTCAGAGAACAGGACGCACAGCTGTTTTATCTGTATAGCGTGCCGAAGTCACGCCCCTTTCGGTGAAGCTCATGGGACCTGGCAGTGGATGAGGAGAGAAATATTATCTTTTGTTCCCGTTTGAGTTGCGACATGAAATCCAAATATGTTGTTAATGAATTTAAAACATACATTTTAAGGTCAAGGAAGTCATTCTTTGTGGTAAAACTGTTGAGATATAAGCTTGTTGAGATATAAGCTTTTTAATTAGAAAGACTCAAGAGTACACAGGAGGAGGTCGCGTATGTGACGTTACAGCTTTTGCTCGCTTCCTGCAGCTTGGCCTCCCCGCTGAAATTCCACTGTTTTATGATTAATGGATTTATGATTGAAGATGTCTGTGTGTTTTGTGCCAGGTTGCACTCACTCCAAGCTGCAGGAAGCGAGCGAAAGCTATGACGTCACATACGCGACCGCCTCCTGTGTAGTTTTTCTAATTACGTTTTTTCAAAAGCTTATATCTCAACAGTTTTACCACAAAGTATGACTTTCTTGACCTTAAAATTTATGTTTTAAATTTATTAACGACATATTTGGATTTCATGTCACAACTCAAACAGGACCAAAAGATAATATTTCTCTCCTCATTCACTGCCAGGTCCCATGAGCTTCACCGGAAGGGGCGTGACGTCGGCACTCTATACTCTGTAAAAGTCTCAATAAAGATTATACCTGTTTCCTGTTTGTTGGAAAAACATCTGTGGTGATCAGCATGAAACAACATTTATGGCAAAGAATAAAGTTTTTGTTTTGGATTTTAAGTGTTGAACTCAATTTATTATTTATTAAACTGAATAAAATTTATTTTTTGTAGTATTACCAAATAAATGAACGACTTCATCACTAACTTTAACGTCGTGTATTATTTGGATTTAAAGTGAAAATTCATCATTAATAATGAAAAATGATAAAACTGAACTGCTGTGATGAAAAATATTTTAATAAAGAATCTATAACTTTTAAAATAAATCACATTCGACATGCTATACTATGACTTTTTTCATGATTTCGGACAACTGACTTTTTTCATGATTTCAGACGACTGACTTTTTTTCATGATTTCGGACGACTATGACTTTTTTCATGATTTCGGACGACTGACTTTTTTTCATGTTTTCGGACGACTGACTTTTTTCATGATTTCGGACGACTGACTTTTTTCATGAATTCGGACGACTATGACTTTTTTCATGATTTCGGACGACTGAATTTTTTTCATGATTTCAGACACCATGCTATACTATGACTTTTTTCATGATTTCGGACGACTGACTTTTTTTCATGTTTTCGGACGACTGACTTTTTTCATGATTTCGGACGACTGACTTTTTTCATGAATTCGGACGACTATGACTTTTTTCATGATTTCGGACGACTGAATTTTTTTCATGATTTCAGACACCATGCTATACTATGACTTTTTTCATGATTTCGGACGACTGACTTTTTTTCATGTTTTCGGACGACTGACTTTTTTCATGATTTCGGACGACTGACTTTTTTCATGAATTCGGACGACTATGACTTTTTTCATGATTTCGGACGACTGAATTTTTTTCATGATTTCAGACACCATGCTATACTATGACTTTTTTCATGATTTCGGACGACTGACTTTTTTTCATGTTTTCGGACGACTGACTTTTTTCATGATTTCGGACGACTGACTTTTTTCATGAATTCGGACGACTATGACTTTTTTCATGATTTCGGACGACTGAATTTTTTTCATGATTTCAGACACCATGCTATACTATGACTTTTTTCATGATTTCGGACGACTGACTTTTTTTCATGTTTTCGGACGACTGACTTTTTTCATGATTTCGGACGACTGACTTTTTTCATGAATTCGGACGACTATGACTTTTTTCATGATTTCGGACGACTGAATTTTTTTCATGATTTCAGACACCATGCTATACTATGACTTTTTTCATGATTTCGGACGACTGACTTTTTTTCATGTTTTCGGACGACTGACTTTTTTCATGATTTCGGACGACTGACTTTTTTTCATGTTTTCGGGCGACTGACTTTTTTCATGATTTCGGACGACTGACTTTTTTCATGAATTCGGACGAGTATGACTTTTTTCATGATTTTGGACGACTGAATTTTTTTCATGATTTCAGACACCATGCTATACTATGACTTTTTTCATGATTTCGGACGACTGACTTTTTTTCATGTTTTCGGACGACTGACTTTTTTCATGATTTCGGACGACTGACTTTTTTCATGAATTCGGACGAGTATGACTTTTTTCATGATTTTGGACGACTGAATTTTTTTCATGATTTCAGACACCATGCTATACTATGACTTTTTTCATGATTTCGGACGACTGACTTTTTTTCATGTTTTCGGACGACTGACTTTTTTCATGATTTCGGACGACTGACTTTTTTTCATGATTTCGGACGACTATGACTTTTTTTCATGATTTCGAACGACTGACTTTTTTTCATGATTTCGGACGACTATGACTTTTTTTCATGATTTCGGACGACTATGACTTTTTTCATGATTTCGGACGACTGACTTTTTTTCATGATTTCGGACGACTATGACTTTTTTTCATGATTTCGAATGACTGACTTTTTTTCATGATTTCGGACGACTATGACTTTTTTTCATGATTTCGGACGACTATGACTTTTTTCATGATTTCGGACGACTGACTTTTTTTCATGATTTCAGACACCATGCTATACTATGACTTTTTTCATGATTTCGGACGACTATGACTTTTTTCATGATTTCGGACTGTGAATTTTTTTCATGATTTCAGACGACATGCTATACTATGACTTTTTTCATGATTTTGGACGACTATGACTTTTTTTCATGATTTCGAACGACTGACTTTTTTTCATGATTTCGGACGACTATGACTTTTTTTCATGATTTCGGACGACTATGACTTTTTTCATGATTTCGGACGACTGACTTTTTTTCATGATTTCGGACGACATGCTATACTATGACTTTTTTCATGATTTTGGACGTCTGACTTTTTTTCATGATTTCGGACGACTATGACTTTTTTCATGATTTCGGACGACTGACTTTTTTTCATGATTTCAGACACCATGCTATACTATGACTTTTTTCATGATTTTGGACGACTATGACTTTTTTTCATGATTTCGAACGACTGACTTTTTTTCATGATTTCGGACGACTATGACTTTTTTCATGATTTCGGACGAATGACTTTTTTTCATGATTTCGGACGACTATGACTTTTTTCATGATTTCGGACGACTGACTTTTTTTCATGATTTCAGACACCATGCTATACTATGACTTTTTTCATGATTTTGGACGACTATGACTTTTTTTCATGATTTCGAACGACTGACTTTTTTTCATGATTTCGGACGACTATGACTTTTTTCATGATTTCGGACGACTGACTTTTTTTCATGTTTTCGGACGACTGACTTTTTTCATGATTTCGGACGACTGACTTTTTTCATGATTTCGGACGACTGACTTTTTTCATGATTTCGGACGACTGACTTTTTTCATGATTTCGGACGACTGACTTTTTTCATGATTTCGGACAACTATGACTTTTTTCATGATTTCGGACGACTGACTTTTTTTCATGATTTCAGACGACATGCTATACTATGACTTTTTTCATGATTTTGGACGACTATGACTTTTTTTCATGATTTCGAACGACTGACTTTTTTTCATGATTTCGGACGAGTCTGACTTTTTTTCATGATTTCGGACGACTATGACTTTTTTCATGATTTCGGACGACTGACTTTTTTTCATGATTTCGGACGACTATGACTTTTTTTCATGATTTCGGACGACTATGACTTTTTTCATGATTTCGGACGACTATGACTTTTTTCATGATTTCGGACTGTGAATTTTTTTCATGATTTCAGACGACATGCTATACTATGACTTTTTTCATGATTTTGGACGACTATGACTTTTTTTCATGATTTCGGACGTCTGACTTTTTTTCATGATTTCGGACGACTATGACTTTTTTCATGATTTCGGACGACTATGACTTTTTTCATGATTTCGGACTGTGAATTTTTTTCATGATTTCAGACGACATGCTATACTATGACTTTTTTCATGATTTTGGACGACTATGACTTTTTTTCATGATTTCGAACGACTGACTTTTTTTCATGATTTCGGACGACTATGACTTTTTTTCATGATTTCGGACGACTATGACTTTTTTCATGATTTCGGACGACTGACTTTTTTTCATGATTTCGGACGACTATGACTTTTTTCATGATTTCGGACGACTGACTTTTTTTCATGATTTCGGACGACTATGACTTTTTTCATGATTTCGGACGACTATGACTTTTTTCATGATTTCGGACTGTGAATTTTTTTCATGATTTCAGACGACATGCTATACTATGACTTTTTTCATGATTTTGGACGACTATGACTTTTTTTCATGATTTCGAACGACTGACTTTTTTTCATGATTTCGGACGACTATGACTTTTTTTCATGATTTCGGACGACTGACTTTTTTCATGATTTCGGACGACTGACTTTTTTTCATGATTTCGGACGACTATGACTTTTTTTCATGATTTCGGACGACTATGACTTTTTTTCATGATTTCAAACGACTGACTTTTTTCATGATTTCGGAGGACTATGACTTTTTTTCATGATTTCGGATGACATCCTATACTATGACTTTTTTCATGATTTCGGACAACATGCCATACTATGACTTTTTTTCATGATTTCGGACGAGTATGACTTTTTTTCATGATTTTTGACGACATGCTAAACTATGACTTTTTCATGATTTCGGACGACATGCTATACTGTGACTTTTTTTCATGATTTCGGACGACATGCTAAACTATGACTTTTTCATGATTTCGGACGACATGCTATACTGTGACTTTTTTTCATGATTTCAGACGACTGACTTTTTTTCATGATTTCGGACGACTATGACTTTTTTTCATGATTTCAAACGACTGACTTTTTTCATGATTTCGGAGGACTATGACTTTTTTTCATGATTTCGGATGACATCCTATACTATGACTTTTTTCATGATTTCGGACAACATGCCATACTATGACTTTTTTTCATGATTTCGGACGAGTATGACTTTTTTTCATGATTTTTGACGACATGCTAAACTATGACTTTTTCATGATTTCGGACGACATGCTATACTGTGACTTTTTTTCATGATTTCGGACGACATGCTAAACTATGACTTTTTCATGATTTCGGACGACATGCTATACTGTGACTTTTTTTCATGATTTCAGACGACTGACTTTTTTCCATGATTTCGGACGACTATGACTTTTTTTCATGATTTCGGACGACTGACTTTTTTTTCATGATTTTGGACGACTGACTTTTTTTCATGATTTCGGACGACATGCTATACTATGACTTTTTTCATGATTTCGGACGACTGACTGTTTTCCATGATTTCGGACGACTGACTTTTTTCCATGATTTTTTACGACATGCTATACTATGACGTTTTTTCATGATTTTGAATGACTATGACGTTTTTTCATGATTTCGGACGATATACTACACTATGACTTTCTTCATGATTTTGGACGACATGCTATACTGTGACTTTTTTCATGATTTTGGACGACATGCTATACTATGACTTTTTTTCATGATTTCGGATGACTATGACTTTTTTTCATGATTTCGGATGACATGCTATACTATGACTTTTTTTATGATTTCGGACGACATGCTATACTATGACTTTTTTCATGATTTTTAACAACATGCTATACTATGACTTGTTTCATGATTTTGGACGACATGCTATACTATGACTTTTTTTCATGATTTTTAACGACATGCTATAGTTTGACTTTTTTCATGATTTTGGACAACATGCTATACTATGACTTTTTTTCATGATTTTTAACGACATGCTATAGTTTGACTTGTTTCATGATTTTGGACAACATGCTATACTATGACTTTTTTTCATGATTTTTAACGACATGCTATAGTATGACTTTTTTCATGATTTTGGACGACATGCTATACTATGACTTTTTTCCATGATTTTTGACGACATGCTATACTATGACTTTTTTTTCATGATGTCGGATGACTATGACTTTTTTTTCATGATGTCGGACGANTGGATGACTATGACTTTTTTTTCATGATGTCGGACGATATGCTAAACTATGACTTTTTTGTCATGACGTCAGATGACTATGACTTTTTTTCATGATTTCGGACGACATGCTAAACTATGACTTTTTTCCATGATTTTGGACGACATGCTATACTATGACTTTTTCGTGATTTTGGAAGACATGCTATACGATCATGTTTTTCAAAGATTTTGGAGGACGTACTTTACTATGACTTTTTTTCATGATTTCAGACGACACACTATACTATGACTTTTTTCCATGATTTTTAACGACATGCTATACTATGACTTTTTTCCGTGATTTTTGACGACATGCTATACTATGACTTTTTTTCATGATTTTGGACGACATGCCATACTATTACATTTTTTAGCATATTAATGCATTAGCATTAGCATTATTAATGAACACAAGGTTCTGTGCTCGGACCAATCCTATTTACTGTATATATGCTTCCTTTAGGCAACAGCATTAGAAATCACTCTATAAATTTCCATTGTTATGCGGATGATACTCAGTTGTATTTATCGTTGAAGTCAGAAAAAAGTAATCAATTAACTAAACTCCATAACTGCCTTAAAGACATAAAAACCTGGATGAGCACCAATTTCCTGATGTTAAATTCAGACAAAACTGAAGTTATTGTTCTTGGCCCCAAACAACTCAGAGACTCTTTATCTGATGACATAGTTTCTCTAGATGGCATTGCTCTGGCCTCTAGCACTACTGTAAGAAACCTCGGAGTAATATTTGATCAAGATTTGTCTTTTAATTCTCATTTAAAACAAACCTCACGGACTGCATTTTTTCATCTGCGTAATATTGTGAAAATTAGGCCTATCCTGACCCGAAAAGATGCAGAAAAATTGGTCCACGCTTTTGTTACCTCAAGGCTGGATTACTGTAACTCTCTATTATCAGGTAGCTCTAGTAAGTCCTTAAAAACTCTCCAGCTAATTCAGAATGCAGCAGCACGTGTACTAACAGGAACTAAGAAACGAGATCATATTTCTCCTGTTTTAGCTTCTCTGCACTGGCTCCCTGTAAAATCCAGAATTGAATTTAAAATCCTACTGTTAACTTATAAAGCTCTAAATGGTCAAGCTCCGTCATATCTTAGAGAGCTCATAGTGCCATATTATCCCACCAGAACACTGCGCTCTGAGAACGCAGGGTTACTCGTGGTCCCTAAAGTCTCCAAAAGTAGATCAGGAGCCAGAGCCTTCAGCTATCAGGCTCCTCTCCTGTGGAATCATCTTCCTGTTACGGTCCGGGAGGCAGACACCGTCTCCACATTTAAGACTAGACTTAAGACTTTCCTCTTTGATAAAGCTTATAGTTAGGGCTGGCTCAGGCTTGCCCTGTACCAGCCCCTAGTTAGGCTGACTTAGGCCTAGTCTGCCGGAGGACCCCCTATAATACACCGGGCTCCTTCTCTCCTTCTCTCCCTCTCTCGTATTCTATTACTGCATCTTGCTAACTCGGCCATTCTGGATGTCACTAACTCGGCTTCTTCTCCGGAGCCTTTGTGCTCCACTGTCTCTCAGATTAACTCATATCACAGTGGTGCCTGGACAGCGTGACGTGTGTGGTTGTGCTGCTGCCGTGGTCCTGCCAGATGCCTCCTGCTGCTGCTGCCATCATTAGTCATTAGTCTCTCTCTCTCTCTCTGTCTCTCTGTCTCTCTCTCTCTGTCTCATTGTGTCATACGGATTACTGTTAATTATTATGTTGATCTGTTCTGTACAACATCTATTGCACGTCTGTCCGTCCTGGAAGAGGGATCCCTCCTCAGTTGCTCTTCCTGAGGTTTCTACCGTTTTTTTGGGGAGTTTTTCCTGATCAGCTGTGAGGGTCATAAGGACAGAGGGATGTCGTATGCTGTAAAGCCCTGTGAGGCAAATTGTGATTTGTGATATTGGGCTTTATAAATAAAATTGATTGACTGATTGATTGATTGATTGATTGATTGATTGATTGACTGAACTAACCCTGAACCAGGTGGATTTGTATAAAGTTTTTATAAAAAACATATTTCATAAACTCTTCATATCTTTTGATGTATAATGTAACTACACATGGAGTGCAGGAGAAGATCAAAGCCTCGAGTATGAGTACCACAGACTTCTACACTACTGAGGTCTGACCTGCGTCCATGGGGATGGACGCTCGGCTCCTCAGGGCTGCCGCCCCCTCAGGGTCTTCCTCCTCGTCACTGTCTGCAGGCGGAGCATCAGGGAGGTGGAGACCCATCACCTGCAGGTGACAAAAGTATCTTGATCAACATCGTACTGTGACCTGAATATCATGATAACATTGTACTGTGACGTAAGTATTGTTATAACATCGTACGCTGACCTAAGTATTGTTATAACATCATACAGTGACCTGAGTATTGTTATAACATCGTATGCTGACCTAAGTATTGTTATAACATCGTACAGTGACCTAAGTATCGTTATAACATCGTATAGCGACCTAAGTATTGTTATAACATCGTACGCTGACCTAAGTATTGTTATAACATCGTACAGTGACCTGAGTATTGTTATAACATCGTACAGTGACCTAAGTATTATTATAACATCGTACAGTGACCTAAGTATTGTTATAACATCGTAGTGACCTAAGTATTGTTATAACATCGTACGCTGACCTAAGTATTGTTATAACATCGTACAGTGACCTAAGTATTGTTATAACATCGTGCAGTGACCTGAGTATTGTTATAACATCGTACGCTGACCTAGGTATTGTTATAACATTGTATGGTGACCTAAGTATTGTTATAACATCGTACAGTGACCTAAGTATTGTTATAACATCGTATAGTGACCTAAGTATTGTTATAACATCGTACAGTGACCTGAGTATTGTTATAACATCGTACAGTGACCTAAGTATTATTATAACATCATACAGTGACCTAAGTATTGTTATAACATCGTACGCTGACCTAAGTATTATTATAACACCGTACAGTGACCTGAGTATTGTTATAACATCGTACGCTGACCTAGGTATTGTTATAACATTGTATGGTGACCTGAGTATTGTTATAACATCGTACAGTGACCTGAGTATTGTTACAACATCGTACTCTGATCTGAGTATTGTTACAACATCGTACTCTGACTTGAGTACTGTTATAACATCGTACAGTGACCTGAGTATTATTACATCGTACTCTGATCTGAGTATTGTTACAACATTGTACAGTGACCTGAGTATTGTTATAACATCGTACTCTGATCTGAGTATTGTTACAACATCGTACTCTGATCTGAGTATTGTTATAACATCGTACAGTGACCTGAGTATTGTTACAACATCGTAAGGTGACCTGAGTATTGTTATAACATCGTACGGTGACCTAGGTATTGTTATAGCATTGTACGGTGATCTGAGTATTGTTATAACATCGTACAGTGACCTGAGTATTGTTACAACATCGTACTCTGATCTGAGTATTGTTACAACATCGTACTCTGACTTGAGTACTGTTATAACATCGTACAGTGACCTGAGTATTATTACATCGTACTCTGATCTGAGTATTGTTACAACATTGTACAGTGACCTGAGTATTGTTATAACATCGTACTCTGATCTGAGTATTGTTACAACATCGTACTCTGATCTGAGTATTGTTATAACATCGTACAGTGACCTGAGTATTGTTACAACATCGTAAGGTGACCTGAGTATTGTTATAACATCGTACGGTGACCTAGGTATTGTTATAGCATTGTACGGTGATCTGAGTATTGTTATAACATCGTACAGTGACCTGAGTATTGTTACAACATCGTACTCTGATCTGAGTATTGTTACAACATCGTACTCTGACTTGAGTACTGTTATAACATCGTACAGTGACCTGAGTATTATTACATCGTACTCTGATCTGAGTATTGTTACAACATTGTACAGTGACCTGAGTATTGTTATAACATCGTACTCTGATCTGAGTATTGTTATAACAGCGTACAGTGACCTGAGTATTGTTACAACATCGTACTCTGACCTGAGTATCTTTATAAGTGTTCCTCTTAATTGTTCGAGGTCACATGACTCTCTTTGCTCAGGTGTGAGGCAGTGAGTGACCTGTTGCCAGGCAGAACTCACCTCTATCCTGTGCTGCACCTGTTGCAGCTGCTCGTTATGGGAGGGAGCGTCCCCCGTCTCCTCCCCCTCCTCCCCCACCTGCTCGGCGCTATTCACACCGTCGGGCTCCTGGTTCAGAGGCTGGTAATAATATCCTCCGCTGTTCACCTCCTCCTCCTCCTCTTCCTCCTCCTCTCCATCCAGCTCCATCTCTCCCCCCTCCTCCTCCCCCCCCTCCTCCTCCTCACCCCCTCCCTCCCCCCCGCTCCACACGGGCAGCAGAGCTCCGTCGGCCGGACGCTCGTCCTCCCCCAGCTCGTCCTCAGAGTTCGGTAAGACTCTCTCCGGTCCCATCGCTGAGCTCCACACTTCCATCCACAGAGACAGCTGCACTGAGGGGGAGACAGGGGGAGACAGGGAGAAAGACAGCCATGGATGTATAATTAGATCTGTATACTGGACAATAAGACGGCGCCTGTTCAGTCCAGCGTTCACACTGACTTCCTGTCTGTCAGAAAGTCGACCTTAGGGACCTGTCTCCGACCTGTCCCTAACCTGTCTCTGACCTCAGGTCTTCAGGGACAGTGTTGGGTAAGGGTTACTTTAAAAGTAATCAAAGTACGTTACTGCATTACTTTCTAAAAGAGTAACCAGTTACTTTACTGCGTTACTCCCTGAGTAAAGTAACTCAATTACTTTAAAAGTACTTCCAACGTTAATCCCTGAGAAAAGTAACTCAAGCACTTTTAAAGTACTTTTGAGTATTCTACATTTCCTATTGGCCAATGGACCACAGGGCGCTAAGCCTACATTTTTTTGTCTCCAAATTTAAGTTATGGACCACTTGCCCTTCACTGAGATCCAGTTCTCCCATCACAGCCGTCACTTTGACCAGTAGAAACACAGAACGATTTGCTGCCATAGACAACTGTATGACAACAACACCCCAGCGTTTTAATATTTCCTCTAGGGATGTTACCACACAGAGTAAAAGGGGGAAATGATGGTGTGAAACAGCAGAGGCACTTTGTCAACCCGCTGAGTTAACGTTACTGTCATTAGCATCAAGCTAGCAAACAATGGTACATCCTCACGGTCGGACATAAAGTAATAACATTAACAAATAGCGGCGGGGCTTTTACTCACCACAACTGCAGAGGCTCCCAGCTTCATTTGAAACA